GCATTGATTAGTCATGCATCGCTGTTTAGTAGAAATTTGGTAAGCAAACCGTAGCTCATTTTCAAACACTCACTCTCACTTCCACTCACTTAGACTCACCTAAATTACACCTAATATACCAAACAACCCCTTTTTCACTCTCTTCTTCTTTCCTCTGTTGCACCCTATAATTTTTACCCATCTTCATTTTTCTTTTCTCAATATTCTAACTTCATTTCATAATTTTCAGATATATTAAGTTTGAAGGAAAAAAATTAAAGGAGTTTCAATTTTATTTGTTTCGAAAGATTCTGTTTTTGTTTTATCATTTCTGGTTCTTATACTTTTCTTTGTTTTCTTTTTTAATGAAAATTAAATTAATATAAATATTGATAAGAAATTGCTTACATATTTATATATAATCAGACAGTGGAGATAAAGTAATTGAATAAATTAATCTCTAATATTCTAAGATATTTTTATTTAGATTTTGTTTTCTTATCAATGATCACGTGCAAACTTTCCTACCTTTTAACAATTAACAAAATTTTATGTACTTTATAAGAGATTTCGATGTAATATTATTAAAATAAGTAAGAAGTTTCCTAATGAACCTACTAAAATATACATAATAGAATTAAGAAAAAAAATCAGAAATTTAATACAATTATAATTGACTTTGTCTTTAGAAAGCAAAACCATTGAGGAGATGGAGGAGATGGAAGTGTGTTAAATATCTTATATTAAATAAAATCAAATCAAATTATAATATATAAATGTTGCAATTATCATTCATAATTTTTTTTAGGTTAAGATGAACATAAATTCAAGATGATATAACTCATTCTATTGAAGTTCTTCTAGGATATTATATTGTATTCAATTATTAGATTTCTCTTAGACTATTTATAAATATTTAATCTTATGTTGGTAATGTTGTTAGAAAAAAAATGAAAGAATACTAATGAAAAAAGTTGGGAGAAATAATGAAATTCGTTGTCGATAAATGATTGTCACACAAATTTCAATTAATTGCATATTATCCTTCTATTACATGATACACCTCACAAAACTATCTTGTGAAATATTTATATTAGTATAAGAAGAATTAAGACCGCTTGATAAATATAGGTTTAATTGCTTCCTTTGTCCCCAGTTTGGTTGAATTGTGTCAAATTCATCCTCATTTTTAAAAAAGTTTCATTGTCATCCTCACGTGTATAAAAGTGTCAATTGAATCCAAACATAGAAAAAATTTGTGTCAAAGTAGTCATTTTTTCTATATTTCTGTGTCTTCCTTTCATATGTCACTTCTCTGGAGTTATGAAAAGCCTTAAATTGGATAAGGTAAAATGAATATCTGTACTTGATTGTATGAAAGGAAGACACAGATATATAGGAAAAATGACTACTTTGACACAAATTTTTTCTATCTTTGGATTCAATTGACACTTTTACACCACGTGAGGACGACAATGAAACTTTTACACCACGTGAGGATGACAATGAAACTTTTTAAAAAATGAGGATGGATTTGACACAATTCAACCAAACTGGGGACAAAGGAAGCAATTAAACCATAAATATATTATTATCTTAAATTTAACCATATGAATTAGTTAATTGTGTATGCTCCTTATATTATAGTAAAAGTAGCTGAATTTATTTGACACGTCTCTTAACATCACCAATCAAATAAAAATAAAATCGAAATATAATATACAAGTAAATCTACAGATTGATTTTGTGACGTTAAGTATTAAAAATCATAAATTAACTACTATATAAGAGATGTTTCTTTAATGATAGAAATCACGTAGGTAACAAATTAAAACAAAACAAAAATATCATCTTGATTATTCATTTGTGAAATACTATTACGCCATATTTTTATTTTAAAATAATTTTTAAAAGTGAAAACATCAACTCTTAACAGCCAATCAGAGTTCATAATCTAAGAAAAAGAAACCTTGGTCTTTTCTTCTTGCACCTTCCTTTTTTTCTTCCTGCACTCTCATTTAAATTACAATAAAAACCCTAAATTAATCTCAGTACCTCCTTCCATGTGCCCCGCATACCTCCATCTCCATCTCCATCTCCAAGCTTCAGTTCATCTCATGCATGGAGTCACGGGAAGAAAACAAACATTTGTAGCCTCAGTTTCTTCTCCAACGGTCCCTGCCAACCACCCCTCCCTCCGTCCGGCGGAAACTCTGGCGTCCTCTTCGTCTAGGCGTCGACGCGATGCATGTTCAGTTTGAAAATGGCGTGGAGGTAGTAGATCTTGTGGAGCTCTCGGGTGGCGAGGTTGCAGTGTTGATTTTTCCGGAGGCAATGGCAGCCTGGAGGAGCTTCTCCTTGGTTCTCTCGTTGCCTCCGTCGGAGTTGCAGGTTACTGGCGCTGCTGAATAAGAAGAAAGAAAGAAGAAGAAATTAGATTTGAGGTTTTTATTATATTTTAATCAAGGGTGAAGTGGGATATTAGAATTTATGGAGGTGTAGGAAGAAATGACCAAAACCCTCGCATCACTGCAATTATTAAAGCCCAAAAGGAAAGCCAGAACCAGTGAGAAGAAGCCCAACACGACATGACCCATCCCACTGATTAGCATAGGATAGGATTTCGGCCATGTTATCCAATCTTTTATTTCCAAAATCATCCTTAAGTTAAAGGTTAATTTTTTTTTATTTTTATCACAAATTTTTTATTTATTTTTCAAACTCTAATTTTACTTTATTCACAGCAACTACATCTCCATCCCTATCTCCATGTCAACTCAATCTTCTTCTACCTAGTTGTATCCATATCAGATATGAATATTTAATTATTTTTTGTTGATGAAGTATATAAAACTATCATGTATTCGATTATATCTAATAATTATTATTGAGTTTTAGTTAATTAATTTTTTAAATTTGAATGATGAAAATAAAATTAATAATAAAAATCTATTAATCATTTAAGAATAATTTAAAATTTGTATTCACATATTTCTATTTTTTTTATTTAGACCTATAAAATTGAATTTATTTTGTAAGATATTAAATCTTTATAATTTATATTTTGTTGCGGTTCATTTAAATTTAGTTACTAAAAAAGTTAAATTTTTTTGGACTAATTTTTCATATAATTTGATTTGAATTCTAATCTAACTTTATATTTTATTCTTTTTAAATTAAAAAGTATAAAATATATGTGTGGTATCCAGTGACATAAAAAAAAATATACTATAATATTTTTCAAATACTCAACCGATAACATAGTGATTAATAAATTTATCAAATTAAATACAACTAAGTAGAAGAATATTAAATTAGGGATGCAGCTGCTGTGTTCATAGAATATGAATAAAATAAAATTAGGTTTAAAAAATAAATTAAAAATTCGTGATAAAAGTAAAACATTTTAACCTAATGATAGTTTTGAAAATAAAAAATTTTTAGAAAATGCTGGAAGCATACCGTGACGGTGGAGGAGCAACGTTCCTTTTTTTTTTAGTACAATGTATAAACGAGTTTTCCATTGCACTCGATTTATTTTATTGTTCAAATCCCAGGATAATTATATATTTATTTATTATTAGACCATAAAGTTCACTCATCACCAAACTATTCTATTTGTTTCAAAATTATAACAATTTAATATGTTAAAAAAATAAAAATTAATTATTGTTTCCAATTTTCAACGAAATATTAATTATTTATTATCAGATTAGTTGGTTTTCTTTATCTCAATAAAAGTATTATATTAGTTGGGAGTGGCGTTATTTTAGTAATCTTATTAAAAAAGAACATATTTATTATTGGTTGTAATTCATGTAAAAAAAATAAAAATTGCGACCAAAGATAATAATTCGCATAGGCTCAAACATTCATCATAATGGTTCAGCATAGGTAATTATAGAGTAAAATGTGTTTTCTATTTTATCTAAAATAAATAAAGTTCTGTTTTAGTCCTTTTAAAAAATGTTTTAATTTCATCTATTTAATTTTTAAAGTGCATTACTTTTAATCCTGGTTTTTACAGACATTAGTGTAGTATTGGTTAATTCACAAGTACCAAATGACATGACATGACAAGAAGAAGAAAATGGTAAAACAATGTCAAGTTTCGAAGATATCCATATCAAATTGAATAAATGAAAACTAATAAGGTAGATACAAATACACCACAAGTAAAATAAAAATCAAAGTTATTTAAATTAAACAAACTAAAAATAACAAGGTTTAAATGAAAATGATTGAAAAACAAAATGGAAATATATTAACGAGCTTTATCCTATTTTAACTTTATTTTCATTTAATCAAATAATCTATAATTTTAGTTTCTTTATCCACCTCTTTACTTCCATATAAACCAACGAGACATAAAAATTTAACCTAATATTATTCATAAAAAAAATTAAAAACACAGTAAAGATCTTTATAGATATCTTTAGTTTATAATAAATTGATTTTATAAAGTAAAGATCCACACATTTACATGTTATTTTTGCTAAACTATAATAAGAATTCATCATACTCTTTATTCGTAAAGTTAGTATGGGGAAACTTTTATTTCATGATTTTAATAATTAATTTTATCCTATATATTCTAAAGCGTATCATTCTAATAACCTTCGTATTTTAAATTGTTTAATTATTTTCACCATTTAAAAAATAGACACTATTAATTCCACCACTAAATTACCGTAACATTTGTAAGGATTGTTGTCGAGGTAAATATTTATTTAATTTGAATAGTGTTTTTTGTGCTTAAACTTTATCTGTTTAACATTTTCATATTTTATTAAATAAAAGTGTTGAATATTATAATATTTACTTTGTAAAACTAAAATAAGTGGAGCACTAACAAAGTCTAGCTGACACAACTAAGTCTATTATATTTTATTTTCAAACAAATTATTTTTCTAAAACATATTTGATTGGTTATAATGCAAGAAATATGTCAATATAAATTCAAAATAAATTATAAATAATCTGTATCTGTTTCTAAAGTAAGAATGAATACAGATTAACACTTCAATTTATAGATTGTTTAATACTATTGTAGAAAACGTGAATACCATAGAAATCAAAGATATTGTAGAGTGAAGTGCCTCTGAAGGGGAAAAGAGTATAATAGGTGTAACCCAGAGCGAAGAATCGCTGGCGAAGGTGAACGATAAGGATGAAAAGCCTTCGCCGGAGCGGCAACAAGAAACACGGCAGAATCATGCCGGTGAAATCGAAGCGATTCGAACGGCGATTGGTGAAGTTCGAGGAGCTTCCGGAGTACTTAAAGGATAGCGAGTTCATATTGGACTATTACCGCTCCGAATGGCCCGTGAAGGAAGCCTTGTGGAGCATCTTCGCATGGCACAACGAAACCCTAAACATTTGGACGTACGTCACCAATTCAATTCCACCAGTCTTTCCTTAAACATTTCAATTTTAGCGCGATTGTTCCATTTGCTTGATGCTTAATTTATCGCGCTTGCTGACTGCAGGCATGTAGGAGGCTTTCTTATATTTGCCGTGTTGGCGGCTTTGAGCACCACCCCGGAGATCTGGAATTGGCTCAGGTATGCTAAACGCAGGATCGCGGAGTCGTTTTTGATGTTTCTGTATAGTGTTAATTCGCTAGGAGAGTGAATGAATGAATGAACTGATGTTGTGTGAATGTGAGATGGGACCGCCAGATCCTTTACGGCGCTCGGATCGCCGACGATGGCGGCGGAGATTAATAGCTCTGACAGTGACGCATTCTTGGTAATGTTTTCTAAGTTCATCTGAAATTTTTTATATAATAATGGTTAATAGTGACAGTGATTATTAATTTTTTATGCGTGTATTGCAAAATTAATTTCAGAAAGTTTATTGTTAGATAAAATAATGATACAAATTAAATTAGTTGAAAGTGTCTTCGGTCACCTTTCTGATCAGGAAAGCAAGGTAGACATGGAATATTTTATGCATATAAACTGAAAAACAATGCTAGAAGCACCTATTGTATTTTTGCCAATTCAAAATCTCCAAACAAATATTCTATTAATCTTCCTATTTAAGGCGATATTAAGTGTTTTTTATGTTTAACATTAAATGCATTTACTTTATCTTTTAAAGAAATTAAGAAGATATGACAAAGATTGTAGTAACATTAAGGACAAATCTTACTTACATATTTAATGAGAAAATCAAACTTTGATTAGAAACAACACCATCCATACCTACCCAACACTATCAGTTTTCTTCTGACATTAATTGTGGCATAACTATCTATGATTGATTTTGGTACTTCTGATCTACTCTTCATCTATTAAACAAACTATGATCTTGGTGTAATTCTTAATTTTGTATACCTTATATTTATTTTGGTTCAATTGAATCTTTTAAACCCAAAATATTCATTTAAAATACTACCAGAAAATAATTTAACCCATTAAAATATAGAATAAAAGAAATAAACATGTGCAAAAATTTATAATTATATAAAAATTGTGAATTTTAAAAAAATTCAGGAACTAAAATGGCAGAAAAAATTGGAGAACAAAGTAGGAATCAGTAATGAAACAGAGTGCTAAGATTACAATTTAGCTTCACTTGAGATTTTTTACATTATCTATTAAAGTTTAAGCATCACTTCTTTAATGCTTTCGCATCCTCATCCCCTTTTAGATTTTCACCACAATCTTGTATGTAGCATTATAGAGAACAATGTTATCTTACTCATCCTATTGTAGACAATGTTATAATCATATTTTCTAGATTGTACTTTGCTATAATTTGATGGACAATGTGGGTCCCTTAACATAATATAAGTAATATAAGTAAGAGCTCATTAGCTATTCTACCTATTGTTTGTTTTGTTTTTCTGTTATGTTTTTCAGGATTTGCATTTTAGACAAGTTATGGACCCATCCATTCTTAGTGGGATGAGAGGATTTGGGGTGGCGACAATTCCTCGATGGCCATGGTTCGTTTTCTTAGCTGGAGGAATGGGCTGCCTAGCTTGCAGTTCTCTTTCCCATCTTCTGGCCTGCCACTCTAAAGACTTTAACTTATTCTTCTGGCGTCTAGATTATGCTGGGATCTCTCTTATGATTGTGTGTTCCTTCTTTGCCCCTATTTACTATGCTTTCTTCTGCAATCCTTACTCAAGGTTATTTTATTTGGCGTCAATATCTCTGCTTGGAGTTCTTGCCATCATTGCCCTGCTTGCACCTTCACTTTCTACCCCTCGGTTCCGACCCCTCAGAGCCACCTTATTCCTTTCCATGGGCTTTTCAGGTGTCATTCCGGCAGCTCATGCTGTTATCCTGTACTGGGGTCAGCCTCATATATTTGTTGCACTTGGATATGAGCTTGCTATGGCCATTCTATATGCCACTGGAGCAGGGTTTTATGTTTCTAGAATACCAGAACGATGGAAGCCTGGAGCATTTGACATCGCAGGGCAAAGCCATCAAATTTTTCATGTCTTTGTTGTTCTCGGCGCACTTGCCCATAGTGTTGCCACACTAGTCATATTGGATTTCCGACTGAGATTACCTACTTGTGCGGATTAGCCAATTAATACATACATGTTTTAGAACACTTGAGAGAGATATTGTATCAGTTTCCTATTGCATGCATTGTCATATTATTGGAGTGAAAAATGGTTGGGTAATTGAGAGAGACCCTTCAACTTTTTCCTCAGAGCAAAGTAGAGTGATATTGTGTTTTAGCAATTCTGATTTTTTTTACAACTTTTATTCTTGACGTAGTCATAGAAAATGTAATCACAACAGAAAAAAGGGCATTATGAAGAATGTTGTATTTTCAAGCACTCTATGTTTCAGTGTATTGTCTTGTTAACAATAATACTGCGTAGTAAAGAAGAAAAGTTGTACAAAAATGCATGCAACAAAAAAAATTAATCAGTTAATTTTAATAAAAGATACACCTGAATATATTATGGATAGAAAAAGAAACAGATAGACACACATTGCTAAGCTTAAATTTAAACTTCTTGCAGAGATAAAAGACAAATGTATTGTATTTGAAATATGATGGGACACAGATGAAATATAATTTTTTTCATTGAATCTCATCCTAAACAATGATGACCATGTTTATGTGTTTAATAATGCAAAAGAGACAAAAGTCATTAAGTAATTGATCTATATTATGCTTTTAAGGAAGATTTTAAGATAGTTTGTCTTTTACTTATTAAATGATTGGAGATCTGATGAAAAAGTAATAACTAATGAGAAATTTTGTGGTGAAATTTTGTAAGTAAATTTTTTTAAGCTTTATTTAATTCTATATTATAAGACGAGGTTGGTTATTATTTATATAATATAAATTTATCTTATTTTAATATATATGAGATTTGTAACACAGTTCGATCAGAATCTTTTAAAAAAAATTCTTTCATTTTTATATTGGCGAAAATAACCTTTTATCTTATATTTGTTTGGCGGATTAACATATTGATTTAGATGATTAGCTGCATCATATTAGGTCTATTATGAAGCATAAGAGTCTTCCAATAAATCTTATATAAGAAAAACTTATATATTAAATATGTTTTTAGTTTTTATTTGAAATTGAAATTCATTTTTGTCTTAAATTTTTGACTTCAAATTTTAAAACTAAATAGATATAATCATTACAATTTAATTGTTTTAACTTTATCTTTTCTACTTGTGTTAAAATGTCGTTTAACATGTGAAAAAAAAATAATGTTATTAAGTTAAGAAAATTATATTTATTTACTTTTAAGTTTAAAAATAAAGATGTAATAAATTGTAAAATAAAACAAATTTTAATTTTATGTTTAAATTTATATACTATAAATATACTATAAATCTATATGCTAATGATATGTTAGAGACTTTAAAGCCAAGAATAAAGTATATTCAGATAAGTTTTGTAAGAAAATCTATAAATAATTCTAATTATTATTTACTAAAATTCAATTTAGTAAGCAACATAATTTATTTTATTCGATGAAGTTTTATGTCATAACTAATATGATTTTTTTCAAAAACATATATTAATATAAATATTATTTATATTGTGACATTTAAAACATGCAAAACTTATGAATTTTCTTAATAACATGTAAAACAGGTAATTCATATATGCAAATTTTAGTCTTAAGAAACACTTATTTTATTTTTATTTAATCATATATGGATTTTTAAATAAATTTTAATATTGTACTTTTTTTTAAACTAACCATATTTTTGATATCTCACTTAGTCCCTGACATTATACAAACATGGACATTAACATTTGCCAAGGAGAAATAACTTCTAAACTAATATTATAGACTAAATCTAACTTCAATGACATCTTGAAAATTTTATTTAAATCTAGGAACTGATACAACGACACCAATCAACTCCCAAGTGATCATTCAATTTATTTATTTTTATTATTTCCATTAGATCATTCAAGTAACATTCTTTCAAACCCTTTAGCATTTCTGGATCTGTTAGTTCACCTTCCAACTCAGTTGCAGAATATAAGTGGGTGGATTGAGCTTATTCATATCTTAAGTATGATCTGAAACTCATAAGATGAACAATAGCAGCCCATTGATTCTATGTTTACAAGATTTTCAACCAAATTCACACTTCATTTGTTAAAAAATTTAAGAATCTGTGTCTGTTGGCAGGAAAAAAACAAGAAAAATACACAAGGGAACAACAAGAAAAGCTGCAACCTTAAGCAATTCCTCACTCTCTGATGTTATTACTCCGATCCTCGACCAATCACCGCTGTACCTGAAACAACATACATTTGTGCATTTTCATGAATTAACAAACTCAACCAGAAAGAAAAGAAAACATACTAAGCAACTAACCCGGCATCAATGAACCCCAATCCAAACACTCCAATGGCAGCGCGAGCAATATTTGACTTTGAAATCTTCAGAGGGGAAAAGGGTCGCAGTTGGAGCTTATCATTCTCGTCAAAATCCTTCCTTTTAGCCAGCGTGGTTCCAGACCTTCTTCCAATTTTTTTCATAGGAACATAGTAATTGAAGCCCAAAACACCACACCTAATTCCAGTGCCTACCATTTTCTCTTATCCACTGGCTTTTCACAGTAAACAAGTTACGTTAGCTTTAAGTCACCCAAACAAAGAAGGGTAGCCTCGTAATTTTCATTTAAGGTAAACCAAACTACACCAATCGAAATGAATATAATTTCTACATATTTTTTTAGAGGAAGTGATAATTATATTTAGTTTTTTTCTCTCATTTTATTTGACTTGAGAAAAAAATTATCTCATTTTTATTTTTATTTTTTAATATTAATAGATTTTTTCTGTCCTTCACCATTTATTATAGTTCAGATAAAAAAAATATAAATATAGTAGATAAACTGATTAATACACACATTAGCAATCATTAGCAATGAAGATCAAAATAAAACTGATTATAGTTCAGATAAAGATTTATTTACCATGAAGGTTGTCATTCCACTAAAACAAACATTAGCAATAACTCAATGACACAAATTTCGCGAAAATCAAAATCAAAATAATATTTAAATTCTAAATTTATCAAATATCACATTATTTATAAACTTTGATAAACATTGTTTTTAAATCCATTAATTTCTTTTATTTTCTTTATCCTCATAATCTCGCTTTCACATCTCTCTTCTCTTAAATCTATTATCTTAAATCCTTCTTTAAAAACAAGCTCTCCTCAACGAGAAAGTAAAATTTATTTTCGTGTTATTTGTAACATCTCAAAAATATAGCACACAATTATATACACAGGTGTTAACATTTAATAATATGATAGAACAATTACTACAATAAAAAAGTCAAATTTACAGTTATTACAAAAATAACATAAAATTTTCCAAACTTTACAAGAGCTTCCTATACTGCTACCGAACGTTCATCATATAACCGAACAGTTATATTTACAGAACAAAAATAGTGANATTAATCTTCCTATTTAAGGCGATATTAAGTGTTTTTTATGTTTAACATTAAATGCATTTACTTTATCTTTTAAAGAAATTAAGAAGATATGACAAAGATTGTAGTAACATTAAGGACAAATCTTACTTACATATTTAATGAGAAAATCAAACTTTGATTAGAAACAACACCATCCATACCTACCCAACACTATCAGTTTTCTTCTGACATTAATTGTGGCATAACTATCTATGATTGATTTTGGTACTTCTGATCTACTCTTCATCTATTAAACAAACTATGATCTTGGTGTAATTCTTAATTTTGTATACCTTATATTTATTTTGGTTCAATTGAATCTTTTAAACCCAAAATATTCATTTAAAATACTACCAAAAAATAATTTAACCCATTAAAATATAGAATAAAAGAAATAAACATGTGCAAAAATTTATAATTATATAAAAATTGTGAATTTTAAAAAAATTCAGGAACTAAAATGGCAGAAAAAATTGGAGAACAAAGTAGGAATCAGTAATGAAACAGAGTGCTAAGATTACAATTTAGCTTCACTTGAGATTTTTTACATTATCTATTAAAGTTTAAGCATCACTTCTTTAATGCTTTCGCATCCTCATCCCCTTTTAGATTTTCACCACAATCTTGTATATAGCATTATAGAGAACAATGTTATCTTACTCATCCTATTGTAGACAATGTTATAATCATATTTTCTAGATTGTACTTTGCTATAATTTGATGGACAATGTGGGTCCCTTAACATAATATAAGTAATATAAGTAAGAGCTCATTAGCTATTCTACCTATTGTTTGTTTTGTTTTTCTGTTATGTTTTTCAGGATTTGCATTTTAGACAAGTTATGGACCCATCCATTCTTAGTGGGATGAGAGGATTTGGGGTGGCGACAATTCCTCGATGGCCATGGTTCGTTTTCTTAGCTGGAGGAATGGGCTGCCTAGCTTGCAGTTCTCTTTCCCATCTTCTGGCCTGCCACTCTAAAGACTTTAACTTATTCTTCTGGCGTCTAGATTATGCTGGGATCTCTCTTATGATTGTGTGTTCCTTCTTTGCCCCTATTTACTATGCTTTCTTCTGCAATCCTTACTCAAGGTTATTTTATTTGGCGTCAATATCTCTGCTTGGAGTTCTTGCCATCATTGCCCTGCTTGCACCTTCACTTTCTACCCCTCGGTTCCGACCCCTCAGAGCCACCTTATTCCTTTCCATGGGCTTTTCAGGTGTCATTCCGGCAGCTCATGCTGTTATCCTGTACTGGGGTCAGCCTCATATATTTGTTGCACTTGGATATGAGCTTGCTATGGCCATTCTATATGCCACTGGAGCAGGGTTTTATGTTTCTAGAATACCAGAACGATGGAAGCCTGGAGCATTTGACATCGCAGGGCAAAGCCATCAAATTTTTCATGTCTTTGTTGTTCTCGGCGCACTTGCCCATAGTGTTGCCACACTAGTCATATTGGATTTCCGACTGAGATTACCTACTTGTGCGGATTAGCCAATTAATACATACATGTTTTAGAACACTTGAGAGAGATATTGTATCAGTTTCCTATTGCATGCATTGTCATATTATTGGAGTGAAAAATGGTTGGGAAATTGAGAGAGACCCTTCAACTTTTTCCTCAGAGCAAAGTAGAGTGATATTGTGTTTTAGCAATTCTGATTTTTTTTACAACTTTTATTCTTGACGTAGTCATAGAAAATGTAATCACAACAGAAAAAAGGGCATTAAGAAGAATGTTGTATTTTCAAGCACTCAATGTTTCAGTGTATTGTCTTGTTAACAATAATACTGCGTAGTAAAGAAGAAAAGTTGTACAAAAATGCATGCAACAAAAAAAATTAATCAGTTAATTTTAATAAAAGATACACCTGAATATATTATGGATAGAAAAAGAAACAGAAAGACACACATTGCTAAGCTTAAATTTAAACTTCTTGCAGAGATAAAAGACAAATGTATTGTATTTGAAATATGATGGGACACAGATGAAATATAATTTTTTTTATTGAATCTCATCTTAAACAATGATGACCATGTTTATGTGTTTAATAATGCAAAAGAGACAAAAGTCATTAAGTAATTGATCTATATTATGCTTTTAAGGAAGATTTTAAGATAGTTTGTCTTTTACTTATTAAATGATTGGAGATCTGATGAAAAAGTAATAACTAATGAGAAATTTTGTGGTGAAATTTTGTAAGTAAATTTTTTTAAGCTTTATTTAATTCTATATTATAAGACGAGGTTGGTTATTATTTATATAATATAAATTTATCTTATTTTAATATATATGAGATTTGTAACACAGTTCGATCAGAATCTTTTAAAAAAAATTCTTTCATTTTTATATTGGCGAAAATAACCTTTTATCTTATATTTGTTTGGCGGATTAACATATTGATTTAGATGATTAGCTGCATCATATTAGGTCTATTATGAAGCATAAGAGTCTTCCAATAAATCTTATATAAGAAAAACTTATATATTAAATATGTTTTTAGTTTTTATTTGAAATTGAAATTCATTTTTGTCTTAAATTTTTGACTTCAAATTTTAAAACTAAATAGATATAATCATTACAATTTAATTGTTTTAACTTTATCTTTTCTACTTGTGTTAAAATGTCGTTTAACATGTGAAAAAAAAATAATGTTATTAAGTTAAGAAAATTATATTTATTTACTTTTAAGTTTAAAAATAAAGATGTAATAAATTGTAAAATAAAACAAATTTTAATTTTATGTTTAAATTTATATACTATAAATATACTATAAATCTATATGCTAATGATATGTTAGAGACTTTAAAGCCAAGAATAAAGTATATTCAGATAAGTTTTGTAAGAAAATCTATAAATAATTCTAATTATTATTTACTAAAATTCAATTTAGTAAGCAACATAATTTATTTTATTCGATGAAGTTTTATGTCATAACTAATATGATTTTTTTCAAAAACATATATTAATATAAATATTATTTATATTGTGACATTTAAAACATGCAAAACTTATGAATTTTCTTAATAACATGTAAAACAGGTAATTCATATATGCAAATTTTAGTCTTAAGAAACACTTATTTTATTTTTATTTAATCATATATGGATTTTTAAATAAATTTTAATATTGTACTTTTTTTTAAACTAACCATATTTTTGATATCTCACTTAGTCCCTGACATTATACAAACATGGACATTAACATTTGCCAAGGAGAAATAACTTCTAAACTAATATTATAGACTAAATCTAACTTCAATGACATCTTGAAAATTTTATTTAAATCTAGGAACTGATACAACGACACCAATCAACTCCCAAGTGATCATTCAATTTATTTATTTTTATTATTTCCATTAGATCATTCAAGTAACATTCTTTCAAACCCTTTAGCATTTCTGGATCTGTTAGTTCACCTTCCAACTCAGTTGCAGAATATAAGTGGGTGGATTGAGCTTATTCATATCTTAAGTATGATCTGAAACTCATAAGATGAACAATAGCAGCCCATTGATTCTATGTTTACAAGATTTTCAACCAAATTCACACTTCATTTGTTAAAAAATTTAAGAATCTGTGTCTGTTGGCAGGAAAAAAACAAGAAAAATACACAAGGGAACAACAAGAAAAGCTGCAACCTTAAGCAATTCCTCACTCTCTGATGTTATTACTCCGATCCTCGACCAATCACCGCTGTACCTGAAACAACATACATTTGTGCATTTTCATGAATTAACAAACTCAACCAGAAAGAAAAGAAAACATACTAAGCAACTAACCCGGCATCAATGAACCCCAATCCAAACACTCCAATGGCAGCGCGAGCAATATTTGACTTTGAAATCTTCAGAGGGGAAAAGGGTCGCAGTTGGAGCTTATCATTCTCGTCAAAATCCTTCCTTTTAGCCAGCGTGGTTCCAGACCTTCTTCCAATTTTTTTCATAGGAACATAGTAATTGAAGCCCAAAACACCACACCTAATTCCAGTGCCTACCATTTTCTCTTATCCACTGGCTTTTCACAGTAAACAAGTTACGTTAGCTTTAAGTCACCCAAACAAAGAAGGGTAGCCTCGTAATTTTCATTTAAGGTAAACCAAACTACACCAATCGAAATGAATATAATTTCTACATATTTTTTTAGAGGAAGTGATAATTATATTTAGTTTTTTTCTCTCATTTTATTTGACTTGAGAAAAAAATTATCTCATTTTTATTTTTATTTTTTAATATTAATAGATTTTTTCTGTCCTTCACCATTTATTATAGTTCAGATAAAAAAAATATAAATATAGTAGATAAACTGATTAATACACACATTAGCAATCATTAGCAATGAAGATCAAAATAAAACTGATTATAGTTCAGATAAAGATTTATTTACCATGAAGGTTGTCATTCCACTAAAACAAACATTAGCAATAACTCAATGACACAAATTTCGCGAAAATCAAAATCAAAATAATATTTAAATTCTAAATTTATCAAATATCACATTATTTATAAACTTTGATAAACATTGTTTTTAAATCCATTAATTTCTTTTATTTTCTTTATCCTCATAATCTCGCTTTCACATCTCTCTTCTCTTAAATCTATTATCTTAAATCCTTCTTTAAAAACAAGCTCTCCTCAACGAGAAAGTAAAATTTATTTTCGTGTTATTTGTAACATCTCAAAAATATAGCACACAATTATATACACAGGTGTTAACATTTAATAATATGATAGAACAATTACTACAATAAAAAAGTCAAATTTACAGTTATTACAAAAATAACATAAAATTTTCCAAACTTTACAAGAGCTTCCTATACTGCTACCGAACGTTCATCATATAACCGAACAGTTATATTTACAGAACAAAAATAGTGAATGGTCGGTTCACCAAAACTATCTATACTATATGACCGAACGGTCATCTCCTATTCGGCAAGAGTCTCACCGTCCAGCTCCTGTTCCAACGTAAGCCCTTCGCCTTCTGCTCATTTCCAACAAAGATGATCATTGCAATAGAAAACCGAATAGCAACATGGATAAAAACATAAAATAAGGGTAAGCTACTATAATTCAATTAAGCATGCATTCGTACATGAAATAAAACTACAAATCATTACAGACCGAACGCTATAACATACAAGAGCCAACGTAGATATCACACATAACTTGAATATCATAATTTACGTACAACTGACACTTGACTTGACCATCCGGATTGTATGAATACGTAGCTTGAGGCCGTTCGTGCACTCGAGTGGTGTAGTAACTGAAAAACCATCAGCTGCCGCCCGAGGTTAGTCCGTTATAACTCACCCAAGAACCTATGGGCTAGGACCTCCCGCCATTCTCACACAATGACTTACCCATCTCTACTTGAGAATTGGTAATCATCAGAATATCAGGATGAACTCCGTGAATTTCATTATCCGTATTCATACTTTACCACCACATTATCCTTACACTAAGACATTCCTTCCCGGAATTCTCTTCCATATTACTTGAAACATAAACTTTTACTTGAATACCAATAATATTTCCCATACATAATAGATCATTGCTGTAATAAACAACCAACACCAAGCCATAACATCAGCATTGAAAGATCAAAGAACATTTCACATAAGAAGATCGAACGCTCAAATAACACCATCCTTAATTACAAACGAACGGAAAGGATCTAAACAACAGACGAATATAACCTAACGTTTATTTAATAGATAGGACTTTGACATGAGCCGAACACAGCTTAAGAATAAAACACTCTAATTAAACCAAATACTTAATATAAGACCGAACCATATTTAACTATCCTCAATACTAGAGCGAACGGTATTTCACTATCTCAAAGTAATAACGAACGATATTCTACTATTCTCAAAACAAGGACGAACGCTATTTCACTGTCTGACAAAACCAAACGCTTAAAGCTTATACTGAACACTTATAATTATTCTTACAAACTATTCATCCAACCTAATACTTTCAAGGAAACCGAACATTAAGACATTTTAACTGAATTACACATAAAATGGTATCCGATCATAAACGAACGTATTTTAAGCCTAGTCCAAATACAAAGTCTAGTAATAATAATATATGAGTTATCACAAACTAAAATACCTAATCCAATAAGACTCATTATAAATGTATATAACCATCAACACTTGATATATTAATCACTTCCTATAAATCGAACTATTATACCCTGGTAAGGCTAAAATGCTAAATCTATTGATAACTTATTCCCTGACCATAATCGAACGGTTGAGACCGAACACCCAACTATTCTACATAATTTTGTAGAATCCTTATAAACTTATACAGAACCACCAAAAACCCAGAAACATGCATTTCATACATTCATATACAAATCATCAATCAACTCATTCCATATATACACAAAATCATCACATGCATAATTAAATTTAATAGCTTTCCTTACTTCTTAACAGACCGATCGCTCACAATACGAATTTTGCACCACGACTAACACTCAAACGCCCAGATTCACTGATTAAAGAAATGAACCAACCCAAGGACCGGAAATATGA